TAATTCATTATAAAACAACACGGAGCAATATGTAATATATTGTAAGGTTTTCCACTTAGCCTCACAATTGTCCCAGCATTACTCAGGAATTTAAAAGAGCCAAACAAACTCCTGAACCGAGGTTTCAGCAAGCAAACAATTTTTATTTTTATCAAAATAAAATTGGGTGACCCCATCTCTCTTCATGGCTGGTAGAGAGATGAAGGCAACAACCAGAAAAGATGTCTTCCACCTTTTATACCTTTCCAGAACAAAAAGATCAGGTCTTGGTACCAGGCATAAGATCGCACAAAAAAAATAATTCTTAGATGATGACTCATACACAGCAACTCAGGCTCCATCCATAACTCCTTTCCCCCCTCCACTTACTGTGCTCTTTTTATAGCAATCACCTATACCTAAAGCATAAAACATTTGCTTCTATATAACTAATTTCCCAATCTAAAGCATCTACAAAGCTGCTTGCACATAAACATAAAATATCACTACTAATATCAATATTACTAATATCAACCTTAAGCATAAGCTATTTTTTTTGGGGGGGGGAATGTCCTCACTAGGATGCCAGCATTAAAATACTGTATGGTGCCTATAACTGGCTGCTGAAAATAAAAGCATTTTGGAACCACAACAGCAAAACAAGTTCTATCTTCCATTGTTGAATACTCGTCATGGACTTATTGTTGCTGCTGGTTTCCAAGGCTACCACAGCAGCAAATACAGAACAAGCTTTGATATTCATCCCTAAATTAGACATTTATCAGACGTGTTTTTTTCTGCTTAAGAATATATTAAAGACCCACAAATTCTTAAGCAATTCCCCTCTCCCTCCCTATCACATTTTTAGGTCTTGGAGAATCTCAGAGCTGTGTGATTGAAGTTATCTACCCTTAATTGAGATTTGAAGATGGAAGGAGAATTTGTCTCAAATGTCACAAGTTGTCTTTGTGGTATAAAGAAGGTGGCCCAATAGTTCTTGAATTGAAGTTCACAGTTTTTCAATGAATCACATAAAAGAAAATAAGTTTAATATATAGGAAAGTAAAAAAAAAAAACCTGAATAAAAATAGGTAACAAAATGCAAACTATTGTTTCTTTTGCTCAGTAATCCAGTAAGGTTTTCAGGATCCTTTTTAGAAAATATGTATTTGTATTTACATAGCATATTTGCTATCTTCTCTAGATCGTCTACTTTATTTATGTCAAATACTTAAATGTGATTGAATTTAAGAAAATTATAATGGATAAAAATGTTTTGAATAAGAGTTAAAGGACTAGATCAGATATGTCAAACACAAGGCCCGGGGGCCAGATGCTGCCCGCGAAGTGGTTTCATGTGGCCTGCAAAGCCATCCTGGAAACAGTGAGGGAACAGCCCCTGCTGCCTTTGCCCTGGCCCAGGCCGGCTGGGAGCCAATGTACAATTTTGTGATGGCCATCTATGCTGAAACACATTCAGTCTTAGCTCCACAAGGCCATCTAGAAACAGCGAGGAAACAGCCCCTGCTGTGTTGGCCCTGCCCCCTGGGTGCATGCTGGAGAGTGTCATCCTTTATGAGGAATGAAGAAATGGACCATGCCTTGGTGCTTACTCCGGTCCCACCACCTTCTGCCAGAGACCCTCAGATCTGTCCCACTCCTGCCCAGGCCCCCACCGGCATCCTTGACGCGAATGATGTAGAGCTGGCCATGTCCACCCAGTAGGCTACACCCACTCCATCTACGCCCACCCAGTAGGCTGCAGCCACCCTGGCCACACCCACCTTCCCCCCCCCCGAAGGCAACCGCAATGCTGATGCGGCCCTCAATGAAATTGAGTTTAACACTCCTGGACTAGATTACTAGATGTTATTAAATGGAATGTTTGAAGATTAAACATATTTTTAATTATGGGTAAAAGAATAAGAAATTTAGGAAATAAATATATATTAGCTCAGGAGGGATATATATTTTAAGTAGTATGTTATTTTTTATGTTTCTTTACTCTTGCTTTCCTTTCTTTCTGTTTTCATTGTTCTATCTATTCCTTAAGAAATGTAAAAAGGTGAGATGGTTCATATGAAAAAATAGAGTTAAATTTTTAAATGTAATTAATTTTTGAGAAAATTCTAACCAGTAAAAATACCTAGAATTTGGTGGGACAAATTAAAATAAAGACTGTAACAGGATCTATGATAAGGCAACCAGAATGATTGGATAGAAAAGAAATATTATATTGATGTGACTATTATTTTAGGAATATTGGGAAAATTATATATTTAATTGTTATCTATCAAAACAATAAGAATTGTACTAACTCTATGTTTGCAAAAGAGGATTTTTTTAATAATTTTTTATTTTTCCAAACTCTCCCCCATACATATACCGTAATACTTATCAAATATTAACATACATTCCCTCCACACTCACATACAGATACTTTTAACAAAATGAAATAAATACATACACATAACTTTGGTGTTGCTCGCCCATTTCCCCTTTCACTGTATCCACACTCCTTCTTCTTTACCTTCTTTCTCCATTTCTTCTCTTCCCTACTTCTCTCTTCTTTCTCTCCTCTCCTTCACCACTCTCCTCCCCTTTCCTCTTCCTCCAGCCTTCCTACTTCCTTCTCCCCTCCTTTACTCTTTTCTCTCTCCTCTCCTTTCTTCATCCCTCCAAAAGAGGATATTTTGGGAAAAGAGGAAATCAACTAAAACCATTATGTGAATTATGGATTATAGAAATCAATTGTTAATGATTGTTTTATAAATGTAACCCAGCCAACACACTGTTCACCAATTATTGTGATTTATGTTTTTTTTTAAATCAATAAAATATATTTTAAAAAAAGATGGAAAAAATGATAGGACATCAAGAGCCATAAACAATGAGAATGTTAAAAAGGATAGAACTTTGAGAGTGATGAGAAACCAGTGAGGGAATTTAATGCAAGATGAAGTAAATATGTAATACTGTGACCATTTGGAGAGTGATAGTATTATAGGAAAGAAAGACCAGCATGGCTTGGCTCTTTATGCAATTTCTAAAGTTACTGGATACTTGTCCAATAAGGATTTTCTGTGCATCTGTGTGTGTGTGTGTGTGTGTGTGTGTGTGTGTGTGTGTGTGTGTGTGTTTGAACTTTTCTTTATGCCTTTCTCTCTTAGCATGGATTCACCACCCCCTAGTGGTGACATTTAATTTACAAGTGATGCTACTACAGTACAGTACTTTTGGTCAAACTCAATGAAAATGAGAGCACTTTGTGTCATATAGAAAACACAGATTGTCCTGTATAAATTTATAAATACATTTTCGGAAATAACAACCATACATTTCCTCCTGTTTTGCATTTCGTTTGCAATCCAAACAAGCCCATCATATGGATATATATTAGTTGCCTGCTTGATACTTGGTTTTTAAACATTATAAATGAGTCAATTCCGTTCAAAGGGACTCAAGGGAGGTGGGAAACAGTATGTCATATGTCAAGTCTAATAATAATCATGATGCTTAATTAAATAACATCTTCATTTTATATTTTTATTTTTAGAATCTTAGAAATAATTTCAATTAAAACTTTAAAAGTTTCTCTTGAAACTTGAAAGAGATAGCATTTGTGATGGTGGTGAATATCTGTAGCTCAGATGTAGGATGAAGGTGGAGGTTCGTTCTCTGAGCTTGTGAGTTGGCTTCCAAACGTTTCATTACCAGGCTAGGTAACATCTTCAGTGGAGTTTAGGGGGTGTCAGTGTCAGTGTTTTTCTGCTTATAAGGGCTCTGTGTGCTCTTGTGATGGGGAGATCACATCAGGTGAGGGTCTTGCGATGGGTCTTGTGATTGGATCAGGTGTGGGTCATGTCGGATGAGGGTCTTCTGATGGGTCTTGTGATAGGGAGGTCACATCAGGTGAGGGTCATTGGGAGGTGAAGTGCCAGTTAGGGGCTTGCATGGGTTGGTTGAGGGTCAGGGCTGTCTCTGAATGGCTGTGTGGTTGATTTGAATTCTGAGGGGTTCATAGGCTGTAGGTCGATGTGTCTGTTGATGGAATTCCTTGTGGAGTGCCAGGCTTGTGCGTGGCTGGTGCTAGTGTCATTGATTATTCTTGTATTGCTCCAATACAAGAAAATGCATAAAGAGCCAAGCCTTGCTAGTCTTTCCTTCCTATAATTGCTCCAAGAGATAGTAGTAGATGATTTTTTAGATATGAAATGTAAAACATGCTACAGATAGTCCTTAATTTATGACCACAATTGGAACCAAAATTTCTGTTGCTAAGCAATATGGTTAAGTGACTTGTGCCCGATTGTATGATTTTTTTTGCCACACTAAGTGAATCACTGCAGTTGTTAAATGAATCATGCAGCCATAAGGTGAATCCAACTCCCCCCACCATTGACATTGCTTGTTGGAAGCCAGCTGTGAAGATTGTAAATGACCCCAGGGTACTGCAACCATCCTAAGTATATGCCAGTTGCCAAGAACCTGAATTTTGATCATGTGAATATGAGGATGCTGTGAGAGGCTAAGTGTGAAGACTGGTTAAAAGTCACTTTTTAAATACCATTGTAATTTTGAATAGTCACTACTAAACGAATGGTTGAAAGTTGAGGACCACCCATGTTCCAATAGAGAAGGTCAAGGAATACATGATTCAGTTGGTTTAGACCAGGTGTTCTCAAACTCTTCAGCTCACTGAGCCCTTCATGAAGTTACAGAAAGAGTTAAATGTGATTTAGACTGCTTTCTGTGCATCTCCTTAGGTTAAATTTCATATTCAATCCATATTTCTTGGCATAGATACTGTATAGTATTGTTAAAGCTGGTTAGACTAACAAATTGTGATAATTTGAATAAGATTGCATGGGGAGGCGGGTTGTTTATTGGATTGCTTTTACAAATTTGGTAAGCAAGTCTTACTATAAGATGCAGGTTTGCTCTGTTAATCTGCTAAATTTGTATTTAGCAGCTGAGTGGGTGGCTGACATGTTCTAATAATGCTATTTTTTTTTTTACAGATGTGAAAGGACCTGCAACTCATAGACTCTCTTGTGGTCAGTCCCCTGATTCAGAGACTATAATATGGGAGACAAAGTACTGTATTCTGACCAACAGCCAGCTTGTGTTGCTGAACAAGGAAAAGGAGGTAAGAGAGAGTTTGTTTCTTCTGACTAGTATTGACCCCAGCAACGTTTGCATAGATTCAAGTTCGTTTGTTTAAATCATGTATATTTCATTCATTACCCTGAAAGGTTTCCAGACGTCATCTGCTTCTTTATTTCTCCCTGCTACCCTACCCCACCCACCCAGCTTTGAAAGTAGAAATCTCACTGATTGCATGTGGCTTCAGGATGAAATTCTAGGTGCTTATCACCTGTAAAATCCTTCATAGGACTTGGCTACTTGAGGAATCATTATTTTCCATATCATTTACCCATCTGGTGAATTCAGTTACAGTGGGCATACCCTGGTCCTGTCGAATGAAGAAAGTCATCTCCTAGGACCTAGGAACCATATCTTTTTGGGGAGAATTCCTGCACTCTGGAATAATATCTCCCCAAAGATCTATACAGGTAGTCCTTGACTTATGACCATTTATTTCTGTTGCCAAGTGAGACAATTATTAAGGGAGATAGTTGTCTTGTGACTTTTTACGACCATTATTGCCACGATTGTAAAGTGAATCACTGCAGTTGTTGAGTTAGTAACCTGTTAAGTGAATCTGGCTTCCCCATTGACTTTTCTTATCAGAAAGTCACAAAGGGGGGATCATAGGACTCTGGGACACTGCAACTGTTACAAATACATGCCAATTGCCAAGCATCCGAATTTTGATCGTGCGTTACACTATTACAAAGTTAAACATCCCACCCCAATATGATGCAATCCATTATGTTTCTCAATAGAATAGTTTGGTGGGCTTTCTAACAGCACACCCAACCCCTCAGTCCCACGGTAGAAATGACCTTGGTTCCCAAAAGACCGAAAATCGTTTAGACTAGCACACAGGTCAGCAACCTGCGGCTCCGGAGCCGCATGCGGCTCTTTGAGCCTTCCCCTGTGGCTCCCAGCCTCCTCTGCCTTTGCAGAGAGAGACAGAGACAGAGAGAGGCAATTGCACTTCCCTGCTTCTCTCTCTCTCTCTCTCTCTCTCTCTCTCTCTCTCTCTCTCTCTCTCTCTCTCTCTCTCTCTCTCTCTCTCTGTGTGTGTTTTTGTGTGTGCATTTGTGTATAAAAGAGAGTGCACTCACAGTGTTCTCCAAGGAGCTGAAAAGCTTCCTGGGCAGAGCTCCTCCCTTTGCTGCGTCTCTGCAGGAAGCAGGAAGGGCAGGAGAGAGCTAGCTAGCCAGCTAGGCTGACTCAGGAATTCTGGGAGTTGAAGTCCATGAGTCATAAAAGAGACGAGGTTGCTTACCCCTGAGCTTGTGGACAACAGCTTGAAGCTTGCCAGGTGAGCAGCAGATGGGGGGGGGGGAGAAAGAGAGAGAGAGAAAGAGAGAGAGAGAGAGGGAGGGGAGAGAGAAAGAGAAAGAGAGAGGGGGGGGGAAGAGGAGTGGCAGACCAAGGGCAGATAGAGAGGGAGGGAGGGAGAGAGACACACAGAGAGAGAGACCCTTTTGACATCTAAAATGAAGATAACACTGCATATATCCTTTTTTTACCTATGTGTGTATGTAATTTTATTCTCTTAAAGCATTCTCTTGGTGATCATAGTTTTAATAGTATGGATATTCCCAAGAGTCATATTTTTACTTTTATTTTTAATGTGTGTGTGTATATATATATATATATACACACACCCACACCCACACACACACACCTATAATAAAGGTGAAAAAGGATATATGCAGTGTTATCTTCATTTTAGATATCAAAAGGGTTTTGCGGCTCCTGGTGTTTTGTTTTTGGTGGGAAACGGGTCCAAGTGGCTCTTTGAGTGTTTTGGGTTGCCTACCCCTGGACTAGCAGAAAACCTCCACTTCCCCCCTTCCCATTCTCGTGGCAACCTAGAACGAGCAAGATGGCTTCAGCCAGGTTCGTTGTGGAGTTGACACATAGCTTATGTTGTAAATATTTTTTTTCATGTTTTGACTCAAATAGTATGGAACAAAATAAGAAGAGAAAGACTGGAAATATCCAGGGTGCAATTTAAAAAAGAATGTACTGCAGATATTATTGTCATTCTGTAGTTTATAATTTTTTTTTCTTATTAGACAGTAATAGACTTTAGCCTAACAAGACATGAACAGTATGCTGCCCATTTGAGCTGCTGAATTGAATGACACAGATTTAACTTCAAAAACATTTTGAAGTTCTTAGACAAAAAGAGATTTTTGCCATGCCTTTGTTCTTTTTTAGTAGTCTAGGCAGCTGACTGGAAATATAGAAAAGTGCATTAGTATTTTGTTAAAGCTGGAAAGATGTGTGTCCTTTAAAATTTATGCAGTTCTAAAGGACATTTCACTTGGTAAAAATAATGTATTTTATCAAAGCCAGTTCTAAGCTGTTTCAAACAGAAGTTTAACAGATGTAGGTTTGGCTCACCAACCATTGATGTGAAAGGTATATCTAGCCATAATGACTGTGGAATCCTGTCCCAAACCATAGGTAACAAGCAGTCAATTTTGCCCAAAAGCAGGGGCCATAATCTGATCTGGGTACCATTTTGGATAATTGTGTATTGTGCTAGAGGCAGGAACCATAGGCCAGAGAGATAACTTGGGCGGGTTTCAATGGAGCAGCTAGTGGGATGAAGAATGAGTTCAGGAGTCAGCATAGTAGGTTAGTTTTCTTTGGGAACAAGTTACTGAGACTGAAGTAAAGATCTAAAGTTTTATGGAAAGAGCAGCCACAATGGACTCTTTTAGCATCTGGGTAAGATTTCTGTGCAATACCAGTTAGTCTATATAAGCTTTCTTACCACTGCTGTTACACTTCTTGGCAAGCTAGGCTTAAAATACTCGAACAAGCAACTAAGAATCCAGGAACTTTGATAAATAATTTATTGTAGAAAAGCTGAGAACTCACAAATATCTTCAAGTCCCCAAATCCTGATGAAATACATTCTAGAATATGGAAGAAACTGGCTGACGATCATTTGGATCCTTGCTTAGTAAACTCTGAAAATCCTGGAGCTTCTGGGAGGTGACAGAAAGTTGGAGAAGAGCAAATATGGTTCCCTCACTTCAAAAAAGAAAGAAAAAAGAAGCTCCAAATAATTATCAAGCATTAGTGAGCATCAATACCGAGAAAGACATTGAAGCAAATGATAAAACTGGCTGTTTGTAAAAGTAGCTTAAAGACAATTCTATGATTGCTAAGCATCAGCATGACTTTGTCAAAAAATAGGTCAGACGAGACAAGCCTTTTCTCCTTCAACAAAGTAACTACTTTATTGAATAAGGAGAATGCTATTCAGCAGAGTGTCTGCCAAGTTCCACATAAATTGTCATTGACAAGTTGTTAAAATGTGGGTAGGCTGGCACTACAGTAAGATAGTTCCATAACTGGCTGGGTAGCCACATTTAGAGTGTCAACATCGATGGCTCTAGATTGAGTTGGAGAGCAGTGATCAGCATGTTCCTTGGAGATCTTTCTTGGGGCTAACATTAACATTTTTATTCATGGTCTGGATAATAGTATTGATTGGTTGGTTATAAGATTTGCAGATGAAAAAGATTGGGAGGACTTTGCCAATATATAGGATAAAGAACGAGCTAGCAATGTTATCTGAATAAAGTGGGGGAAGAAAGCTCCCAATCTCTTGGCGTTCCTCAAAGGGATCAAAATCTGGTTGTGTAGCCTTTGCTTGTAGGACACAAGGGCCCACACAGCCACATGGGGCTGGTTGGTCCCACGAGAACTCCCCCCTCCCTCAGCATGCATTAACAGCTCCTAGTCTCCCAATCTTGGAACTCTTCATTTTTGAAGTTTTATAATGTTTTACGTTAAAAAATTTTAATCCTAAATTATTCAGTTTTTAATGTTTTATTATATTGATTAAATGGTTTGGAAGAACCCGTTAGATAAAAACGTGGTAACTGAGCACGATACTGAAAACTGAAAACCAACTGAACGTGATACCTTGTTGTAACACAGACATTAATTATCAGACCTATCAATACCAATGAATACTATTTATTAATACTAATAATAAAGTCCTAAAATTCTAACATCAGCAAGCCAGAACCAGGAACTGTTGGGAATCAGGCTGCGCAAGCAGTAGACAAGCACACAAAGCTTCATTTGCACATGTGCAGAATCTAGGTTGTGCTGCGAAACTATCCCCCTCGCCCACTGCAGCCACCACTGCCAGTCCGTGTAGGCCGAAAGGTTGGGGACCACTGCTCTAGGTAGGAGGCCCAGATACCCTCCATTTTTGTTTTGGCAATGAACAGATTTATATCTGGTTGTTTTTGTTTATTGCACAAGAACTAACTTCTAAAGTTCTTGGCAGCAGCCAAGATTCAAAGGAAGTATCAGTTTAAGAGTCATAATGCACTTTCAAGCAAAACCAGGTAATCGCCAGAAGTCAGCATTGACTCAAAGGCTGTACTGGTAGTTCTCATTTAGTGCCTGTATAATTTAGTGACCATTTGTAGTTAATAACTTTACAACCAGTTCCCACATTTATGATCTTTGCAAGTAGGTAAAGCAAAGGAAAGCTGAAGTAACAACCTAAGAATGGTTGTGGTTTAACTTAATAATTACTTTGCTTAATGACTGATCCTGCTGATCCCAGTTGTGGTCACTAAGTGAGGACTACCTGTATATATATTATTTTATATTTTTATTCTTCTTTTTAAAAATTGTACCCAACCTCTGCTTTATTAACCATAATAAATGCAGATTGATAGATCGATTGTAAAGTTTTCTATAACTTTTCTCTTCACACTTAAACTGTGGACCAGTACCGGGCCACAGCATGCCAGCAACCAGTCTGCACAAACAAGCAAAGCCCCATCCACGGGATGCAGGCAACACACAAAACCACGCACCCTTCAGTCAATGGAAAAACAACCTCTCTCCACGGAACCGGTCCCTGGTACTCACAAGGTTAGGGACCTCTGCTTTAGAGTATATATTGGTGTTCATGTAGCAGCTATTAGTGTTTGCCATGGATAGTGTAGCACTGAAAGTCTTTGAACCACTATACATATTTGTTGGAAGATTGATTTGAATGTTCCTGGCATCTGAATTTGCCCTTGGAAGGCAAATTGAATATAGCCTACTCCTTTTGAAGCAGAAAGTTGAGAACAGTAGAGATCTGCTTTCTTCCCAGCTGCTCTTCTTGCCAACCATGCTTCACTCCAGGAAATTACTTCTCACATATTTTTTTATACAAGATGTGAATCCGAATGCCAGCACTACTCTCTTCCCAGATAAAGATTTGCAGTCCCTCTATGGTCTAAATCAGAATTAGGCAAGCAGATTTGCACTTGTGCAAAAGGATTTCCCTTCCTTGTTTCTCCTCATCACCATAGAGCAGTGTTTCTCAACCTTGACAATTTTAAGGCATGTGGACTTCATAGATGGCATTGAATATTCTGAAGCCAAGGGACCCAACTGTTCAGTCACTCCAGTTACGGCCACCACCAAACTGCTATTTTGGAAGGGAAAAGTACAAATCTGCTTGCCTAATTCTGATTTAAACAACAGAGGGACTGCAAATCTTTATTTGGGAAGAAAGCAGTCCTGTCATTCTGATTCACACTTTGTATAAAAAAATAACTTTATGCTGTAATCAATTATAACAAATCTGATTAGAGTTGAAACATTTTAAAGTTACTAGAGAAAAATTGGCAAGTTGTGAGACAATTATTTATCAGTTGTAGGCTAGTTTGAGTTCATGGTTTGCTACTTATTTATTTAGAAATGGATGCATTTTTGCAGAAATGATTTGGAAAAATCTTTACATTGCTAGAATGTCTTGCTGGATTTTCCATTGTTTTGATGTGAGAAATAAACAAACTGCAAATTATTTAATCATTAACCTTCATAAATGCTATAAAATTACACATACCTGTCTCTTTGAACATATACTGAGAACAAGGATATCTAAAATCATAAGTTAAAATGCCAACACTGTCAAAATTTTGTCCAACTGAAAACAGACATCTTAGGTAAAAATCCAAAATGAAGCAAATAATTAAAGTTCTTGAGTAAAATTTCTACACAAGGCTGTCATAACTTCCTCATCAGCAATTCTTGGACATCTTGAAAACAGAGGTTTTCTAGTTTTTCATGCAGCAATATTGTAATTTCAGGCCACCACTTCTGGATCATGACTTTGAAAATATCTAAACTCATCTTACAAAAGCTCATCCTACTGTAATTCAGTTTCTGTGCTTCTTAATAATTTGCTCTTTTTCTCAGTATATATATATATGTATGTATGTATGTATATGTGTGTGTGTGTGTGTGTATATATATGTATGTATGTATGTATCTCATTTGATAGCTCAACTGCCTGAAGGATGAAAATCTGATATCTTGCTTTCTGTACCACATAGTTGAACAAGTAAACTTGAACCATATTTCATATATCAAAAGGCAGTCATGGAAGCTAAACAGCAAAAAAATGAATTCAGAGTTCAGTGTCTAAAATTGCTCATATCAGGATATCAACACAAACTCACTATACAGGACACAATGTTGATAGTGGTTGAGCATACATGATTGTTGCTTTCACCTCAACCACAATTATTATCCCCATTGATTATATCACACTGTACATTTTTAAAAAATAATACAGTTGAAAGGACATATAATTTAGAAAAGGGACCCCCAAATATTATTCACAGCATGTCCAAGGTCTTAGGTACCGTTCTAGGCATACAAGGTTAAATCTTGGCTCAGACATCGATGAAATATCTGCAATGTGCATTAGTAGCAAAGGCTTTTGAACTACAAAAAGTAATTTATTCTTCCAGTTTTTTAATATTGAGAGCTGAAAATTGTATCATTCCTGTATTCTTTTTCATGTACAGATAGCAATCGAAGGAGGACAAGAACAGCCTGCAGAGCCCTCCAAAGGGCGTTGTCTACGACGTACTGTGAGTGTTCCTTCAGAGGGTCAGTTTCCTGACTATCCACCAGAGGGAGCGACTAAGCTTGGTAATTATATAAGGAAACTTGATGTTCTAGGCTAATATTTCCCGTTCAAGAAACCACATCCTGCTGTTCTGTAATAATCTTGTCTGAACTAAAAGCCTTTTAGGAATGTTCCAGGAAAGGCCATATAGCAGTGTCATTCTAAATTGATACTGAACTGTTTATTTGCTTTGCGGATTTACTGAATTAGTAAAGTTCCTATTACATTTCAGGTAGGGAGCTGATAGACTACAAAGACTACGTTTGAAGTTTACAGCCTCAGGTTCATAGCTATTTATCTTGACCTTTGGGAATAAGCACAGAATCTTTTTATATTGGTTTAAAATGTCTCCTGCTACTTGTTGGAGTTGCTTAGTTAAGACTTTAATTTTCTTACAGTGTCGGAGCTCTTAGTTTCTGCAAGGATTAAACTACCATACAGTATACAAATGTGTAATTTTTACTATTTGGTATCCCTGCTCTATTTGATATAACAGCAGTTCATATAACTGTTGTTTAAATAAGCACCTGGTGTAAAGGAAAAGGGGAGAGGTAAAAATTAAGAAGCCCTGGATTATAAGAGTGGATTTCCCTCCCAGCATCCTGGTGTCACAGTGCATAAAATATACTGCCCTTGGTATTTCGATAGACAGCTAATAGGATAGACCAAGTCATGAGTGGTTTTTTTTTTCATTAATTCACAAATCTGACATCTTTATTAGGTATATATGGATAAGGAAATATTTTTACAGCAGTGCAAATGGTTTCCCCTGCTATAATTGCCCAAGAGATACAAACAGAGAAAAGTTGGGTGAGAGACATGTTCCTCCTCTTCCTACTCCTTCTTCTCTTTCTTGACCTAGTTTATGCAGAATTGGCTGAGGAGGAATTCTTAATGATGGGTTATGAGCATGCACGTAAACAATATATTAAAGACTTGGAAGGCTGACAGGACCAGTCGGTACTACCTAAGAACATTTTTCTAAGAAGTCAAGCCCCTTTTTACAAACCAGTAAGATACTTACACTACATAAAGTTTTCCAAATTGCGAAGAGCACTAACTTTAGCATGCTTAAGCACTTTCCCTACAATAGTTTTGCAATACCCATATAAAAAAGTCCCTTGTAAGCTAAGGCTGTGTCCGTTTTGGACAAAGATCTGTTGAAACTACAACTCATGTCTTGCTATACTGCACCTTCTACAAGGATTCAATGTTTTACCTGGTAAACCACCCAGAAACTTGTGATCCTTTTTATGTACAGTTATTGTTATCAGATCAGTATTGATTCAGGTTCCTTGAACGTAGCTAAATTTTGTTCCAAAGCCTGTAAAATTAGGCAGACTCGTCCATTTATGAACCCATTACCAGTTGTAATATTTTATCTTGTTTCGATTTTACTTTTTCATTAATGTGTTTCTGTTTGAAATTCTGATCAGTGACCATAACAAAAATTCTATTCTACTAGTGCAGTGTTTCTCAACCTGTGGGTCGGGACCCCATTTGGGGTCGAACGACCATTTCACGGGGGTCGCCAAACAAGGCTGTCCGCCATTTTTTTCCCCTTTTCTTTGGCTGCGCCCCTGGCACCTGGTGATGTATAAGTGGTTGGGGGTCACCACAACATGGGAAACTGTATTATGGGGTCGCGGCATTAGAAAGGTTGAGAACCACTGTACTAGTGTGAGGTTGAAGTAAGTTGAATCCTGGAAATTTATGGTAAAAGTCATGAGAAAAATAAATATCTCTTGTATTACCATTTTTTTGTATCCAAAACTACTTTATTTCACATCCTTCAAGGTTACGGAGGAAAGTTCACTTCATACACAACTATGATATTAAGTTCTGTGTCATAGACTTCCTGAAAAATAAGCCAGACTATATCAAGATATAAATGCCCTGGTGTCCCTGCTGTGTCAAATTTAGCCTTTAGCAGCAGATCACCTAGATAAAACCTCTAATTAATTTCTTGGATCTTATTAGATGCAGATATACAAATGCTCCCTCTTGCACATCACCCCACCTGTTTATCAGGGGATAATGCAGTATTGACTCATTTGCCCTACTTCGTTAGGATGGCATCATGGAATGACTAGTTTGAATGACTAGAATGTTGAAAGAGTACATTCAAGTAGTGTTGGGTGCAAAACATAATAAGCAGTAGCAACAGAAAGATGGAAAGGGCAGAATAAGTACTTAGAAAAAAATCATGAAGGAAGGCTGAAATAATGTCTCTGAATCACACTGTTTTTTCTATTAGTTTCCCATTAACTCATTAGTTTTGGTTAGTTTAGGATTAGTTGTTTGGGTGAATTTCATAATTTGAAGGTCATGCTTTGCAGCAAATAAAATGGCATTCTCTCTCTCTTAAAAATTAGAAGGAAAATTGATGTCATGCTGGAGAGCATTAGATGTGACTGAAGCAAAAAAAAGGAAAGAAAAGAAAAACAGATGGCATTCAGCAGCATGTGCTACCAGCAACGCTGGCAACAGCTGTACTCAAAATAGCTTTGGAATGACCACCAAGTGCTGGAAGGCATAGGAGAAGAGAGAAAATAGCTAAGACAGCAATTATGGTGTAGAGCTATTCCTCCCTTCACTGTACAGACATGCAGATGATATCCGGCTAGTTTTAATTAGCAAACATTTTATTCAGTGAAAAATAGTAGCTGGGTTCAGGCTGGGGAGGTGTCACCCTTTGTGAGGAATGAAGAAATGCACCATGCCTTGGCGCTTGCCCCGGTCCCACTTCCTTCTGCCAGAGACCCTCAGATCTGTCCCACTCCTGCCCAGGCTCCCACAGGCACCCTTGACGCGAACAATGTAGAGCTGACCATGCCCACCCAGTAGGCCACACTCACTCCAGCCACGCCCACCCAGTAGGCTGCACCCACCCTGGCCACACTCCCCCCCCCGAGAGCAACCGCAATGCTGATGCAGCCCTCAATAAAATTGAGTTTGACACCCCTGCCCTACCTCTATGATTTTAAATAGTGTCTCAACTGGGAAAGTTATCTATAACGGCAAACAGTTTGCCTTTGATCACTGATGGGTCATTATTGCACATTGTTGTTATAAAGGGGGTCTCAATGTTCATCATCTTGTGCAACTGCTCCTCAATACTTTAATTACTTTTCCAGCTGCCAAGAGACAGGATCTAGACTACCCATTTGTGGCTGATGGTTCACTAATGTGTGTATCTACATCTGAGTCATTGAAATATTCTATTTAATTATAGGATACATTTTATTTATTTTTATTTACTTTTTGTTCACTGAAGGAAGTCATCCTCAGAATCTTTCTTGAGATGAATTTTTTAATGTTGTAATCATTATCCTGTATGTTTTTCTAAAAATAAATACTTTCTATTTCAATGGTTTTCATATTAAAACTATAACAGGCAGTCTTCTTGTAATCAATGTGCGGAAAATGTTCTTTTGGGGTACTTCAAAGTAGCTCATTAGTTCTCTTTTGAAAAAAAACAAGAAGCCACATGTAAAAACTCCTTTTGCTGTTCTGCTTCTGTATTTCCATTATTACTTCATTTGTTCAGCTACAACAAGTTTTTTGATTAAATTATTTAATTAAAATATATAAATAAGAAGTAGCCTGCTTTATCAAATTGTGAGGCTTGTGGGGGGGACAGGAATCCTCAGATTCATCTATTAAAAATGCACTTCAGAGGATGGCAACTGATAGGGCAAATCTCTCTCTAATCAAAGTTTCATTTCCCAGGAAAAAAATCTGACACCATAGCAAGCCTGTAATTAGCAGCAACACAGCTTGCTGTTCCTTTCCTCTAATTGGGAAGAAGACAAAATACTATTTTAGATTCCCTTGTGTTTGGAAAGCTCTAATTGTTGCAAATGAAGGAAAGCTGGCCTAAAATGAGGTCTAGGGAACTGAAATTAATGACCATACCCTCTTGAAGGAGTTCTGCCTTTTCATTATCTTATAGGCTAGAATTCAGGTTTGGTTCATTAGGGACTAACAGTTCTATCTAACAGCAAGAAGGATGAGAACAGGGAGAGCATCCTACGCTGAACATCCTACCCCCCTGGGCTATTCCACATGGATGCATGCTCATTTTTCCAGTTAACTTTAGATTATACATACCTCAGATAATTGGAACAGGTTGGCACCATCCCATCTGATATGGCTAAAGGTTTCTGCTGATCACAGTATGATCTGCTCCTCCTCCTATGTGTTGCTATTGTTTCTTCACCATTTTTGTTGTCTTCTTTGCCTCCAGGGAACATTACATTTTTCTTAGCAAAGGCAGCATTATTTGTTGTTGTTGTTAGTTGCTAAATCATGTCCGACCCATCACGACCCCATGGACAACGTTCCTCCAGGCCTTCCTGTCCTCTACCATCTTCTGGAGTCCATTTAAGCTCACGCCTACTGCTTCAGTGACTCCATCCAGCCCCCTCATTCTCTGTCGTCCCCTTCTTCTATTGCCCTCAATCTTTCCCAGCATTAGTAATAGTAATAGTAGTAAAGTTGGAAGGGACCTTGGAGGTCATCTAGTCCAACCCCCTGCTCAGGCAGGAAACCCTACACCATTTCGGACAAATGGCTGTCTTCTTAAAAACTTCCAGTGTTAGAGCATTTACTGCTTCTGGAGGCAGGCTGTTCCACTGATTAATTGTTCTTACTGTCAGGAAGTTTCTCCTTAGTTCTAGGTTGCTTCTCTCCTTGATTAGTTTCCACCCGTTGCTTCTTGTCCTGCCTTCAGGTGCTTTGGAAAATAGCTTGATTCCCTCTTCTTTATGGCAGCCCCTGAGATATTGGAATACTGCTATCATGTCACCCCTTGTCCTTCTCTTCGTTAAACTAGACATACCCAATTCTAGCAACCGTTCCTTATATGTTTTAGCCTCCAGTCCCCTAATCATCTTTGTTGCTCTTCTCTGTACTCTTTCTAGAGTCTCAACATCTTTTTTACATCGTGGTGACCAAAACTGGATGCAGTATTCAAAGTGTGGCCTTACCAAGGCATTGAAGAGTGGTATTAATACTTCAC